ATTTAATCTTGAAAATTCTTTTGATTTATATATTATCTCAAAAAAGAGGAATTTTACTTCAATTATGTTTTCATTTCGAATCTCTCGCTCTTCTAGAAACCGAGATATGGTGCTTTGAAGTTTTGAAGGCGAGAGACGCAGACAACGAGACTCTCTAACTGTCTGCGTCTAAACTTCAAATCGCTGTATCTCGATTGCTAGATGAGCTAGAAGAGTCATTTTTGGTTGGATTTGAAGGAATTTTTGTGCATTTTTCAATGAGATTACAAAATTTAAAAATTGAAAAGAAATTTTTTAGACTGAATTTCAAAAAATCTGAAAAACACGAAAAATTTTCTGATATTTTTATCAACCCATTTCATCCTTTTTTTCATCGATCGACAATTCCCAAATCCCAGAAATTGCCCCACAAAAGACATAAAAAATTTCGAATGGCAATTGAATACATGTGTTTCTGTTCATTTCCCCTCCTTCTTATTGCTCATCCTTCCCTCTATTCCGATTGCTCAGATTTTCCCCTCCGTCCCGCCATTTTTCCTGAAATGAGTGGGAGTAAGTACTTTTGTTTCGTGTCATATAGATGCCCCGGCTGTGGTCCCATCCGATGACAGCAAAATCATGTCGTATAAAAGTTTTGCCACAATGTGAGGGGGGAACATTTTTTTTTTTTGAAATTCTCCTTCTTTCCAAATATGCAAATAGAGTTTTACACATTTTAGAATTTTTAAATTTGTTTCTAGCACTTCTAGAAGCCGAGATAAATCCACATAAAGCATAGAAGGCTAGAGACGCAGTGTGTCTCGTCGTCTGCGTCTCTCCAAAACTTCGAATCACTGTATCTCGGCTTCTAGATGAGCTAGAGCGATCATTTTTCGTGGGATTTGAAGAAATTTTTGCGTATTTTTTGTTTCAATTGAAATGGTAAAAAATTCTGGAAAATTTTTTTGAAAATTTTTGGGTTTTTCTACAAAAAAAAAATTTTTTTTAATTCCTTGTTTCAGTTTCAATTTCAGCCAAAAACCAACTTTCAAGCTTTTCTAGGAGCCGAGATATAACCATTTCAAGTTTTGAAGAGCCGCAGACAGTTAGAGTGTCTCGTCGTCTGCGTCTCTAGCCTCAAAAACTTCAAATCACTGTATCTCGGCTTCTAGAAGGGCTAGAACAATCATTTTTGGTGGATTTGAAGACATTTTTGCGTATTTTTTATTTCAATTGAAATGGTGAAAAATTCTGAAAAAAAATTTTTTCAAAATTTTTGAATTTTTCCACAAAAAAAAAACAAACAGGTTTCTTTTTTTGAAATTCCTTGTTTTCAGCTTCAATTTCAGCCAAAAACCGGCTTTCTAGCTTTTCTAACAGCCGAGATATAACCATTTCAACTTTTGAAGAGACGCAGACAGTTATAGAGTCTCGTTGTCTGCGTCTCTAGCCTCAAAAACTTCAAATGACTATATCTCGGCTCCCAGATGAGCTAGAATAATAATTTTAGATTGGAATGAAAGGAAAATCTATATATTTGTTTTAGAGTAAAACTCTTCAATTCCAATAAATCTGAGAACTTTGCATTTTTTAAGCTTCCATTTTTGATCATTGGTCGAAGGCAACTTTCTGACGAAACTTGCCTCTAGGCTCTTCTCCAAAGTTTTCTCTCAAATTGCACTGAAACTCTTTTTTCAGTCTCGCGTTTTTCAATTCTTGATTAAAATTGAAATCTTCTTTTCCATTTTCTTCGTTTTTCTTGTTTCCTAAAACCCAAGAAGTATAGGAAAAATAGGGAAAAAGAGGAAGCAAACAATTTGGAAATGAAATGTCAGAAGACGTCGTCTTCAGAAAATGATGACTTTGTCTTCCTCTGGAATCCCTAAATTGTATTTGTTGTCTCGCTTTTTGTATTTTTTTGGGTTTTCTTTTTCAATTCAGAAATTCAGAAATTCAGAAATTCAGAAATTCAGAAATTCAGAAATTCAGAAATTCAGAAATTCAGAAATTCAGAAATTCAAAAATTCAGAAATTCAGAAATTCAGAAATTCAGAAATTCAGAAATTCAGAAATTAAAAAAAAATTCTGAAATCATGAAGATCCAAAAAATCTGAATTTCTGAAAATCCTAAAAAATTCAAAAAGCGAAAATTCCAAAAAAAAAATCCCCGAAAATAAATCAGAAAAAAAGAGCAAGATCATAAAATAGAGCCCTCTTATGGTTTTTCTTATTTTTCTCGGTCATAACATTATTCTACTTTCCGGACCACAGAAAAAAGAGATTATTCTCTGCTTTTTTTCCTGATTTTTGACAATTTTAAAACCAAAAAAAATGAGTTGAACAAAAACGAAAATTTTGGGTTTTTGGGATTCCTTTGGGACCCCAAATGGTCCGAAATAGAAGACGTGGGATGCTGAAAAAAATGTATGAAAATGTTCTTTTTCTGTGGGGTTTTTGAGGGTCCTCATTATGAGTTTTTTGATGTTATATTATTTTTTTGGAAATAAGAATTCATGGAAAAAATACAAAATTTCTGAATTTCTGAATTTCTGAATTTCTGAATTTCTGAATTTCTGAATTTCTGAATTTCCGAATTTCTGATTTTCTGAATTTCTGAATTTCGGAATTTCTGAATTTCTTAAAATTCTTTTCAGAACTTTCGAAGCAGCTGAAACTTTCTGCAAAATAACATCTAATTTGAAATTTCGATATGGATTACTGTAGCTAATTTTTCAGCTGTTTCTTTTTCAGAATTTGAAGCAATTCTGAATTTTTCAGAAGTTCGGAATTTTCCGAAATTTCAGAGTTCAAATTCAAAAATGAATTTTATACATTTCTTGGTCCATATTTCTGAAAAAGTAAAAAAAAAAAATAGTCAGAACCCAGAAGAAAGAGAACATCAAAGTGATTGACAATTGTTGTCTTCCTTTTTCCATTTTCTCATTTTTTTTTTTGGTGAATTTCTCTCTCATATTCCAACTTTTTCTTCTCAAATTCTGGAAATTTCTGTTTAAAACCTCAGAATTTTCCAGAATAAAACCCAATTTTTTTTTTTCGCTTCTCCTCTATTTTTCATAACATCCGTTTTCCCCCCATATATTCGATAACAAATTACCGGAATTCAATAATTTCCCGTTATTTTCAGAATCCTTTGTCTAGGTCCTTCTACTATTTCAAGAATACTACTTACTTTATTTTCAAAAAAAAAAATATTTTTTTCCTAAATTTAAAAATTCAGCATTTTTAAAAATATTTTTCTTGAAAAATATTACGTTTTGCAGAAAGAATCAGCTTTCTAGAATATCCGCGAGCTGAGATACAGCGCTTTGAATTTGCGAAGAGACGCAGGCAATTAGAGTGTCTCGTTGCCTGCGTCTCTCGCCTCCTAAACCTCAAAGCGCTGTTTCTCGGCTCCCCATGCACCGATTTTGTTCATTTTTCCGACAAAATTTTTGGATTCGTTAGTTTTATCAATTGATCAGCATTTTTCAAACTTTTTGAAAATTGCAAAACTTTTATTTTTTTTTTTTTCATCTTCCTAGCTCTTCTAGAACCCGAGATTGACCCATTCAAAGTTTCTGAGGCTAGAGGCGTGGACAACAAGACACGCTGGCTGTCTGCGTCTCTCAAAACTTCAAATAGTCATATCTCGGCTCCTAGAAGTGCCAGGAACTTGATTCTTGGAGCAAATTGTAGAATTTTTTCCCGTTGTTCAGATTCTTGGAAAAATTTTGTGGTCCATTTTGCCAAATATATACATACTTGTTGTTACTCGGATGTCCATTTTTTTGGGTGGCGGTGGTGGTGTACTCCATTTGATTTATGACATATTTTTTGGAAAAGAGATGCAGAGAAAGCATAGAAGACATTGTAAAAGTGTCAAGCATTTTCGAGTTTCTAGAATATCAGAATTTCAGAATTTTTGCAATTTTCGAATTATTTTGAATTTAAAAAACTTTAAAATATTTACAGATGGAGTATAAAATAATGAACAAATCAGTCCAAAAACCGACTTTCTAGCTTGCCTAGAACCCGAGATAAAACGATTTAAATTCTAGGAGGCTAGAGACGCAGTGTATCTCGTCGTCTGCGTCTCTCACCTCCGAAACTTTAAATGAAGATATCTCGGCTCTAAAATGAGCTAGAAAGATGCGATTTCCACAGAATTGATTTAATTCTTATCAAAAATTCGAATTCGCCAAATTTCAGAAGAATGGTTTTTTTTGAAAATTAGGAAACATTTCAAAGTCAGCTGCTTCTCTTTTGTTTCGCTCTCTAATTCGAAAATGTATCGCTTTTTTTCTCGAAATTTCTGACACTTTTCTATATGGACCCATGTTATTCAAAATGTCCCTTTTGAATTTTTTTGAAATTCCAAATTTCCCCTTCTTCTTCCGAAGACAAAGTTTCCCATCGGGGACTCATAAACCAAAAAATCATGTAGTTGAGTTCTCGTTTTCACACACTTGAAGAGAACTCCCTCTCTCTTTTTCTCTGCGCCTCTCTCTCTCTCTCTCTCTCTCTCTCTCTCTCTCTCTCTCTCTCTCTCTCTCTCTCTCTCTCTCTTTCCTCTTGTTTTACATATATCACATCATCAGAAAATTCAGAAGAACTTGAGTTCGAAAAAACTCCTCTTCGTTGGAGAATTTTGGATTCTCAATGTTGACTTCTTACACTTCGTGTTTGCAGAATTCAAGTTCCTCCGATGACGTCACGAGAAGGCGCCAGAAGCATGGCAAGCTTCAGAAGGACAGTTCTGGTTTTTCTGGTTTTTATGGAAGCTGTACAGGTATGAAGAAATTGTTAAATGTGAGAAATCTGTTAAAAAATCGAGCTTCTGGAGTTTTTAGAACCCGAGATATAGCACTTTGAAGTTTTGGAGAGACGCAGGCAGTTAGAGTGTCTCGTTGTCTGCGTCTCTCGCATCCCAAACTTTGAACGACTGTATCTCGGGTTCTAGATAAGCTAGAAGAATGATTTTTTGACTAGTTTGTTTCATTTTTTGCACTTTTTTATTATTTAAAGATTTTTGAAATTTTTGATCTGTCTTATATTTCGGGAGAGTTACTGTTTTTGTAGTTTTAAGCCAGTATAGGTATTTTTGATCAAAAATTTCAAAAATTTCGGAAATTCCGAGACGTTTGCAAAACTAAATTCCAAAGATTCAAAATAACTTTTTCTGATTTTGGAAAGTTAAAAAATTCTAAATTTTTGAAAAAATCAAAAAATGCAAGTTGTAAGCTCCAATTTTGTCTAAAAATCAGGATTCTAGCGTTTCTAGAACCCGAGATATAGCTCTTCGAAGTTTATGAGAGACGCAGACAGTTAGAGTGTCCTGTTGTCTGCGTCTCTAGCCTTTTAAACTTCAAAGCGCTGTATCTCGGCTCGGTTTTTTCAAAAATTGTTGGAATTTTCAATGTAACCTTACAAGGGAACCGGTAATAGTAATAAATTCATGAATTTGGGGGAAAATAAAATGTGTTTTTGCAAATTTTTGTGAGAAATGAAATTTACTAAAAATTTGACACAATTCTATCTAATTTTCAAGTTTCTAGCTCTCCTAGAAACCGAGATATAGTCATTTGAAGTTTTGAAGTTGAGAGACGAAGACAACGAGACACTCTGCGTCTCTATCATCTTGAAGAGACGCAGACAGTGGAAACTTCAAATCGCCGTATCTCCAGTTCTGGAACAGCTAGTAACTTGGTTTTTTGACGAAAATCATCGGATTTCCAGATTTGCTCTGGCGTGCGAGCCGCGTTGCGGCTCCGCAAAAAGTCCAACTCGGCGGATGACTCGGAAGATGAGGAGTTGCAGGATGAGATGTACAACGACGCAATTTATGATAAGGCGTCGATTTTTGAGCAGGGGTGTGTTGTTTAGTTTCCAAAATCAACTTTCTAGGACGTCTCGGCGCCGAGATGCAGCCATTTGAAGAGACGCAGACAGTTAGAGTGTCTCGTTGTCTACGTCTCTGGTCCTCAAAATTTTAAATGACCACATCTCAGGTTCTAGATAAGCTAGGAACCAGAAATTTGGACAGAAAAGGTTAGGAATTTCAAATTTTTGGGAAAGAAAAAAGTCGGTTCAAATACTGAAAGTAGAAATCATTTCCTTCAATTCGGTGCAAAAATCACTTTTCTAGCTGCCCTAGAAGCTGAGATACAGACATTTCAAGTCTTTGAGAGACGCAGACAACGAGACACTCTGCGTCTCTCGCCCGACGTGAGAGACGCAGACATTGAAACTTCAAAGCGCTGTATCTCGGCTATTAGATGAGCTAGAACCTTCTAGTTTTTTTGCAAAACATCCCAAATTTTCAATAGAATTCATTTTCAGAGAAACCCACGACTTCCTCCAATTCCTTCGTTCCATAAAATACGATCATCGTCAGGTACCAGACGACGGATTCGATGGACCCGTTCATGTGAACGTCTCCATCGTTGTCAGTAACATTCGATCGGTTTCTGAAGTCACCATGGATTATTCCATTGAAATGTTTTATCGAGAATCGTGGCGAGACCCAAGGCTAACCTATAGTAG